ATGGGAGGATGGGCATATGGATAGGTGTATGGATAGGCGTATGGATGGGAGGAGGAGGGAAAGAGAGAAAAAGAGATATATGAATGATATAATCTTAGTTTTTTTTCAATGTAGATTTGTACATTGATGGAGAGAAGAAATGTTACAAAGATCTTGGCTTTAAGAGGTTAGTAAATAATAGCTAGTCCTCTCATCACACACTAAAATATGTTCACCACTCCATATACCATGCAATATTTGGAATATATATACAATACCTTTTCTTCTTCATTGTTAGGTACAATGCTCTATCTGTTATGGGTGGCCTTCTTGCCAAGGAAACCAGACAATCACTTTCAAAGGTTAGTCTTAGTTGGTTTTAATTTTTTTTAGCTTGTGCTAGCTCTATTATTGACAACAGTTGATAATTATAATTTTAGATGAAAGGATTTCAGCTTCATTAGATAAAGTTTAATCTACCTATCATTCAATCACAGAGCAATGCCAAAGGGATCAAAGGTAACATGAAGGGAGATGGTATGCAAACTGGGGGTTTGCTAATAGTATCTCAGGAAGGCAAGGTCTTGTTCAGTCACAGYCAAACCTCTCCAGGTGACCACGTACCGAATGTAACAATACTAGAAGCTCTAGGAATCAAAGATGAAGGAGAAGGAGGAGAAACGAGTGCAGGTGGCGAGGCAAGTGGTGGGGCCAAGATGGAGTGTAATGAAGATGCTTGCACCCTACCAGCAAAGAAGTAGTCATGTAAGTATATAAAAAAAAGATAATGCTCTCTCCTGAAATTTATAGTCCTGGAAATAYACACATAACCCCCACATAAAAATTACAGTACCAAGGGGTGGGGAAGGGCCTGAAGCTATATTGTACATGTAGTTCCAGAAAATATGCATACCTCCCCCATAGAGGGGGATTGGAATTTTCAAAGGCTGGCAGGGGCATAGCCAGGATTTCCCATAGCTAGGGTGGGGGGACCCACATTCAAAAATCCACCATTTTTTCTGGTCCCCTGATCAAATGCTGAACCCAAAAAAGAGCCAGCTTTTTGTTTTATGTTTTAATTTTGGAAAACTTGGGAAAAAATATTGGAATTACCGTATAAATTCTAAAAAGCTGCCATTTTGTTGCCACGAAGGGGGATTTATAGCCCCCTCGATCCCCCTTTCCTACACCCTTGACTGGGAAYGGTCTGAGGATGGGGGTATAATATTGTGTGATTCCAGAAATATCCATACCTACGCCTGTGGAAGGGGATTGGAATATTGCCAGGTAGCCAGTGTGGAGGGACTTGGAAGATATTTCCTGGCATTAGCAGATCTTTGAGCTATGGTTTTATTGAACAAAATGACACACTACAAATTTGTTTACATTCACTTTTTTTTTTCAGTCAAAGAGAATACCTTTCAATGGATAGTGGAACTTATTTAAGTCATATTTGCTTTCTTTGGCTCAGGGCTACAGTGAACAGAAACAGGATTTTATGAAGCCAATCTGAAAACCTGTCCAAAACAGGAAAGAACTGGCTGATGTAAAACAGGATAAACTTGTTTGTAACCTGTTTTTGAGCACCTTTTAGTCCAGTACCTAGTTAAGCTATATTTCACAATAGATATCTCCCACTACCTATTGGAATAAAACAAGAATGTGTAATTTTTTGTTGTTGAAAATATTAAAGGAAATTTATTGAATTATAATCATCCAGGGAAGAATTTAAACTGTACCTCAAGTGATTATTAGTGACAGAAGAATAATTGTTGTATATCTTTTCACTAATTTCTCTCTCACACACCCATGTCATTATCCCAACCTTCTTCCCATTGGGCCAGAAGTGATGGTATTCTTGCTTGATTCATAGTTTTTCTCAGTCAATAGCAAAGCAATCACAATAGTTGAAGCAGTTTTCCCAGTTTAATTAAAATCTTGTTCCATATACACACTACTAAAACAATTTTCTTGTTAAGAGCTGTGCCTTAAGGTTGGACTGTATTGAAAACATTATGGACATATGATATACTAGCCTCCGTTCCAGACGTCTGCAACAGAGGCTAATAATATGCTGGGTTAAATAAATTCAAGGATATGGCCAAGCATGGGAACCAAATATTTTATGAGAGGGATACGTTTTTTTCAAACTTTTTGGAAGATTTTTATGAAATCTCCAAYACATGACCAAGTGTAGGGTTAGAAACTAAAATAGAAAATCTATAACGACTTCACAACTATCTAAACTGAAGATAAACCTGGATTAATTCCAAAATAATTCAATAATGTATTTTCTTCGTATTTTTTAATCCTTAAATCACCACACCCCTTTAATGCATGTAGCGTGACTCAGATCAAATCGATCAATCCAAATAAGGATTACCGGAAACGAAAAGGAAACAAGCCAATGCAATGTCGACATCCGCTATCTATCAATCATCTTATTGTTTCATTARCCAATCGAAAGAGTTAGAACGGGTTGAGTGACTTGTGATTGTATAACAGCCTGCTCGGTCATTCTGAAGATCCACACGTTTTGAAGTCCAACAAGCTGATCTTTTGTTATCATAAACACTTGGAATCTCACGAAATAAGCCAAAAATGTCTGAAACAGAAGAATTAGCTAGTAAATTGAAGAGAAGAGCAGCGATCAACGAAGGGGAATCAGTAGAACCAGCGAGACGAATGCAAATATTCAATCCGTACACAGAATTTCATGAATTCACACGAAAACAAATCAAGGATTTTGAAAAGACCTTCAAATCGTAAGTAGTTTTAATACCTGTATGTTTGAGTTATCTTGAATTAAGCTCTTRCTGTTCCATTATAGATTCATTTGGAGTTTTTCATTTGAAATTTTTTAATATTTTTTTCAATGATAAAAAAGTTCAGAGTCRCGACGCAGTTCATGTGACTTTCACACTTGATTCCAATGCAGATTTTACGAAATATTCAGAAATATAATATCCTTCCTCGAAAGGTATCCAAATTAAGAAAAACTATCTGTCTTTCCTTAAATAAAGCGTGACTCACTCCATTATGGATCGGAACTTCATAAATGACCTTTTTTTAGGGTTATCTTAAAAGCAAAATACAGTAGCAAGTTTGCTTTGTTTCCTGCTGGGCTGTGGCGTCCTAGGAGTAAAAATCATTCCTCTTATAMTGAATTTTGCCTCCATAAAAATATTTTTAGTCATGATAGATTTGGTTTCAATTGTTTAATCTTCCATTAATCAAACCACAAGGCTTTTACGTAATTTAAAACAGAAATACCGATAGATAAAAACAAG